GACGCACTGCGGAAGAAAGGCCTGGAGAGACCTGCCCTACTCTGACCCGGGCAGGCCACCAGGGGCTGGAACCGATGGCATGACCACTGGCCTATTTCTTTGTCACCTTCTGCATCCCCATTCACAGACCAGCACAGGAGGCACAGAGAGGGTGGGCCCACGGCGAGAGAGCAGCCAGGTCAGCACCTGAGCCTTTCTTGTTCAGATCTCCCCTCTCCCTGCAGTGCCCCCGTCCCCTGATGTCTTGAGTTCTCAGACCAGAACAGACAGACCCTCAGGGAACTATTCCTGCAATGGAAGCTCCAGTGGGTGGCCTTCCGCCTTGAGAGACCCTCAGACGGAGGGGTGGCATCCTGTACCTTCACCCCATCACTCCCTGTTCACCCCGTCTTCTTACTTGGAGCGTGCCTTCTTTTCCTCCTGCAAAAGTTTCCTGTGCAGGTCAGAGCACATGTGGAGGGGGATGCTCTGGGCGGGGTAGGGGGCAGCCGAGCCCTCCCCTCCTCACTCTGTGTCTCTGCTTCTGCAGTGAATACATGGAGCAGGGAAGTGCCCAAGCTCAGCTGGCCTCAGCCTCAGGGCGTAACTGGACTCCGTTCAGCTGCTCTGATCTGAGAGCCAGATCAAAGGGCACAGACTAGTGGGGGAGACAGACGTACCTCAGTGTGGTGAGGACCACAGTTGGGGGGGTGTCCCCAGCCCTGCATGTCTCCAGCATCACAGATCTGTGCTCTTCGGTGTAGCCCACAGCAGAGCCTGTGGGGGTGAGCCTGGCACTCATGCGGGGCTGTTTCTGTTTTTAAGAAGCACCACAACCAGGTCTGGGAACCACCTCACTGATCAGAACTGGATCTGGGTTTTGAAGGATGAGCAGGGGGTTGCTTGCTGGGTGGTGAGCAAGAAAAGGCCTTTTGTCCTCAGAGAACCAGCAGCCTGAGCCGAGGCCCCGGGAGGTCGAGCTGGGAGCCGCTGGGGAGGGCCCGGAGAGGCTGGGAGCAGAGCGGTCAGTGGGTGAAGCGCCTGGGGCTTCAACTCAGAGGCGGTGATGCAGCAGGCGACAGGGCCAGCTCTTTTTGTTGGGACCTCACAGTGGCGGTGGAGTGGGTGGGCCCACCGAGGGCATCTCCTGTGTCGTGAAAGTGAAAGCCAGAGTGGCTTCTTGGAGCCTTGGTCCCATCCCTCCCACATCTCCCCCGCCCCTTCTGGGGACCTGCCTGACCCCGAGAGAGGAGCGTCCACTCTCACCCAGCACCAGGCCCAGCACTGCGGACGTCCAGTGCCTGCCATGGCCGCTGTGCTGGGCCCTGGGTGACGCGCTCTGCAGGTCTCACTGATGCCGGGTCCGTCAGCACAGGGCCTCTGTGAGGCAGGCAGGCCCGTCTTGGCCCCGCTGTGTGCGAGAGCCGGTGACGTGAACTCAGCTCTTCCTGGCAAGGATGAGGCCTTGACTCCCACAAAGAGTTCCAGCTTCGGAACCCACGTTCTACTCAGCCCATAGGCTCGCCGTGAGTCGGAATCCACTCGATTCCTGTGAGCTGGGCTTTGGCCTTTTGAAAAGCGAGGCTGGTGATTTCCTTATGATGCCCTGGCGGCGCGGTCTGGTTTGGGGCTGCTAACTGCCAGGTCAGCAGTTCAAACCCACCAGCCACTTCCCTGGAGAAAGATGAGTCTGGCTGCCCCGTAAAGACTCACAGCCCCCGTTGACCCCACCTGAATGCTTCTCGGTTTAAGCATTGCTGGATTGCTCCATGACAAAAGTTCTTCCCTGGCCTTTTATTTTCAGTTAGTTTTTTTTTTTTTAAGTTGGGATTTAATATTCCCTGGTCTTTTAAATACTGATGGTGGTCTTTTCTATTTTACTCATTATTTGCATTTTTATCTTGGTGTTATTATTACTTTATCCTTACTACTTCACTTCATTTCTGTTGGTTTCCCCGTGTGGAGGCTCAGAGCAGCAGAGGACTAGCGATAATGACCAGTGCCAGGGCTTCTAGGGGAGGAGGGAGTGGGGGTGGGAGACGGGAGGGTGAGGAGGGTGGGGGAGCAAACCGTGTATGCGGGAGGGGCAGTGCTAGAACTGACTGTGATGACACACTCATTTTAAAGGTGACTTAACCATTAAAAAAAGGAGAAGAAAATGTTCTAAAATTATTTGGGGTAATGATTGTGCATTTCTTGATATGACTCAAATATTGACTTTTTTGATAGATGGATTATGTGCCAATAAAACTGTTAAGAGGATGGACACTTGGGGAACGCTGAGTAGATGGGGTCATCTTGAATGTGGGTCAACCCGACTCCAGTCCGTTGGTTCTTAGGGTTTTGCTCGTATGCCTCTGTTTTGCCTCCTGTGAAATGGGTCTAACCCTCCCTGTTCCTGCTCCTCTCCTGCCTGCCAGGGTGCTGGAGCTCCCAGACCTCCTGGGTACTAGTGAGCCCACAGAGAAAGCACCCTGCCAGCAACTGTCTGATCTTCTATCTTTCAAAGCGCTTTGCAGACGTTTTTAAAGATAAAAACTTATTTCTGATCATTCCCAGTGCAGACTTAGAGGCACAGACCTACACTTTCAGGGAAGAGTAATTTGCAACAACATTCAGAAGGAAAAATGCAGCTGGTTCTTTGATGCAGGGACCCACGGAATCGGCGCTAGGAGTTCACTCATCCTTTTGCTCTGCGCCCTGCATAGGAGGATGCTTGTTACCCCACGGTTTATCACGGGATAAGACTGGAAACCCCAGGAACCACAGATAGGGGGGCTGGCTGAGCAAACTAAGCTGCATCAGAAACTGACAGAAAACAAAACAAAGCAAGGCTCTTAACATGCGAGGAAACTTGCCGGCACGACTCTGGAGATGCTGCCGCACCAAGAGCAGCTGCAGTGCAGGGCGTGGGCAGGCCGTGCTCCCTTCTGCACCAAACACGGGGCAGGAGCAGACCCGCCAGCGGAGACCTGTACGGTGGTTCCAGAAGGGTCCCTGAGAAACCAGTAACTGTAGGTGCTTCTGGGGAACTCAGGAGAGGGGAGTCAGATAGAGGCTTCTCTGTGTACACCTGCTTGAGTTTTGAGAGGAACTGGAGCATGGTGGGGACTTACCCTGTTTCCCCGAAAATAAGGCAGTGTCTTATATTAATTTTTGCTCCCAAAGATGCGCTAGGTCTTATTT